CGTACACGACTATCTCGGGGGCCGTCTCGAACCGTGTCTCACGAAGGGGAGGTTCACTCCTGGCGCGATCCCCGTCTCTGGCGACTGTGTGGTCAGCGGGTGGTGGGTTACCGAGCGGTAGGGACCGTGAATGCTGAATCTGAGTTGCTTCCGAGTCATCAGAAATGCTTTCAGACCAACTCTCTCTCACGAAGTCTGCCACCTTGCTTCTCTGGCGCAGCTTGCGGAGAGACTCCTGCATGTGGAGGCCATCCTTCACGTGTGAATAGAACTCCTCGTCCGACGACCCTTCCGACCGCTCAAGAAACAATTCCCGGGTCCACACGGACCCATGTGTCCCTTGACAGGTCTTCGGCATACTGAACATCGTCTACGTGGCTTCTTGAAGCCCCCATGCTGCTCCATGAGGAGAAAACGATGATTTTTTGAAGAGCAAACAAAAACGTGGCTGTAGGAGCCAAAATAAAAATAAAGAGGCCGTCACGTGAGGTTGGGTCACGTGGGGTAGGGCCGGAACAAATCAATTTCGTGTATCTAATTACAAAAAATGATCCTGAAGGAGACATTTTTTCCACTTGTTCTGTAATAAACATATTAATAATAACCTTTATTGTACATTCATGCCCTATCAGACTAAGTACAAGTGAACAGATGAAAAGATATATGTTTGTAGAACAAACAGCTCAAAACTACACTAATACAGAGGTTCGGCTTCTTCTCGTTTCTTTGTGATGTTAAAAACATAATTTTAGATGGGTTTGTTTGATACAGAATGACCAAAGCGCATAAGAAAGATGAATTTTTCAATATTAGTCAGGTATTGGAGGTATGGACACGTTCTTGTAATTTAAAGATCATTTACATCATTACTATATAAACTACAATCTAAATATTACATCGGAGTTCTTTCTTTATGCACAGGAGACAATCAGCCTTCCACTACAACGGCAGATAATTTTGGAGTCCAATTCGCTTGAGAATGTGTGTGTCTCATTGGCCGCTGTAGACATCGCCATTTTCTTCTTGGCATCCGCTGGTGGAGATGCAGATAAACTGCTGGGTGAATATCTCCACAGGGTTCTGAAGATGGGGAAAGCTTCCCGCCTCCACAGCGATAAGGTAAGTACACATGCACCTTTCACATTTGTTGCTACAAGTGTAAAAGATATAGCTTTCGGAATATTTGTATATCCCTATATGATAAGATATTGCGATTGATGATTCTTCCTCCAACAGGCAAGTAGCAAAAACGCATTGCATCATCGTACACACTCTTATATTATGTTTACCGAAGGAAAACATATTGTTTTTACTCAATTTTCTCTTCTTCTTCTATTCCAAACCCTGACCTGGCCAATAACCTGATTTGTTGACGTCTGTCACCATGGTAATGGTGTCGGGTTACACAATGTTGCAAGTTTATAGTAGGAGACCTTTCGACTCCTGTCTGACCTTATATATGAATTTATTTGAGTAAGAATTAATAGCAGACCATATGTGAAGGTAAACATTATGCATTTGCTTTGGAAATGTTACCTTTCTAGTATTCTGAATCTGAATATTTTTTCAAAGTTATAACTACATACATACAGAGCTTTTTACAGTCTGTACCTTACGTGAATTCATTGAGATATTACCTTTCTTTGTGTTCAGGCGCGAAACCATTGTCGACTGAAACATGCTTTATCGCTCTGGCAACTTTTGTCTGTCCAGCGAGCACGTTTGTTACTGGCACATGGTCAGGTGAGCAATCATTCTCCTCACTGAACAACAACAAATGTCGCTCAGCTCAAGCACCACTTGGCTCAAACGACAATATATTGTAGCGACTTTAAAATTATTCACTATGATTTATCCATTATGGCTTACTGGAATAATGTTAATTTTAACGTAAAATTTTTCAAAGATCTATACAGCACACGTACACCAATGTCTTACTGCATCATTATAGAAGAGACCTTTATTGACACAACAAAAGTACAGCGACTTTCGTAAGGTCTAAGACTGCATGTAGATATACAGAAAAATATACATGGGTACAACGAAATTAACCTACGTGCAAAACAATAGATGAGTCAACTAATACTACTTGTTCTAAGGTCTAAACATTCTTTGATATATTTACCTATTTGTACACAGTAAGGTTTATTACCTTCTAGGATGAAATTAAATTTATCTATAGCATGAGATGTAAGAAGTTCTGTTGAGCAAGCGGAGAGAAGGTTGAATAGCTTTGTGCGTTTATCGTTATATAGTGTACAATTTAGAATAAAATGATGTTCGTCTTTAATATCAATAGAACAGAATGGACAAAACCTTATATTATATGGACGGTATGATGTTGAAGGCATGACATTATTTTTAACAAGGTTTCATTCCCTGAGCAGGACCCATTCGACAATGTCGCCGCAGCTTACACCACACAGTTAGAAGAGGATCAGATCAAGGCTCTGGAGAACACCCTGAAGAACATGGACGTCGGTACACTAGTTGCGGAGATGTACGAGTTTGTCGTCGTTTCTGATGACAAGGACAAAAGGAAACCGGAATGGAGGTAGGGATCTACCACAGCACAGTATTTTTTTCAGCTTCTTTTTGCAGCGGTGCAATTTTTTGGTTACGCCCGAGTGCCGAGTCTAATAGTGTAGTATGTAAACCATTTTGCAAAGATTCTAGCGATTCCTCAGATATTTGTTTTACTGATACGCTATATGCATAGTGAACATATCATATGTTTTGCTCGGAAGCATCGTAAGCTCCTGAGCGGCAAACCTGGTCAAGAGGTTTTGTCAGGTGTGAAAACTTCCTGGTCTTAGCAAATGCCAGCTGTACTATCATAAACAAAAGAAGCATTTCTGTTTGTCAACATAAATAGCAAAACTAACCTACCATAACGTACATATTTTCTACATAAATATTTCAATTGTCGGCATAGCAAGAGTGTATATGCCTGCCTTGTTGAACTTATGCTTCACCCTAACCCGAAAATTCATAATCCTAATCTTCAGTATTTGTTAACAAAGTTGTGTGCTTTCTTGTCCTACAGTCTGCGTGACACACTTGTGAGCTACTTGGACGAGAAGGACTCCCCTGAGGTAAATGGCTTCCTGCAGAACTTCCCAGAAACTATCCTGTTGGAGCACGTCTGCGACACCTGGCGGATCCTCGCAAACTACAACCAACAGGACGATTCGACAAATTAAATTCCCGCAGACTAGCCAACACCATATATGATATCCATTGTATGTTATTTTATACATACGAGATTCAATATTTCTATACACGAGATTCCGTGTATTTTCTAGAAAAGATGTTAGTGAAAAAAATAATTGTTTGATTGATTGACTAGTTGATTGAGAAAAATTTTGATTTTGTGTTTGATTCGTCGTCTATTGCTGTGAAAACATGTTAACATGTAATATTGAGATAAACTAGTTACAGCGAAGTAATTTCTTTTTATTACCTTACGTTGTGTTTCCGGACGACACAACCCAGTTCTGTTGGACCACCGTAATTTCAAATGATTCCGATAGTTTTAGTAAATTGCATGAAGCAACTATGAGATGGTTCTATTTTGATGTATTTTTTGTCATTGATTATTTGTCAATTAATCGTTTTACGACGTTACATATGTGTTTGTTTTTGTTGGAATTTTAGTGTGGCTGCTCTAGGACACAATTTGTTTGAAAGTATAATTTTGTTGTAGTTGGCAAAATGCATTATTGATTATTCTTCGATCGATCGTTTGTTTATTGCGGTACACCTACATTTATTACACTATAGTTACTTTGAAGGATAGATTTTGTGGAAGTAACAGATTATTGTAGTCGGCAACGCTCGTAAACTTATAATACTCCATGTAAGCATCCACAGTAAAATTACTTGTAGCTGTCTTTTCATGTTCTGTCATTTCGTTTTCTCTACATTCTTTAATCGAATTGTAAGTCTGCAGAATGACATCCAGGATACCGCATTAATGGACCGTTCCATAAGCCACGCCCCCCTTAGCAACGCCCTAGCAACTCGAACACCTCCGTCAAAATCAGCGCGGGAAGGGCCGTACCGACTGCCGCCGTCAGAATGTCGGATTTACAGCCCAACTTTGAGATCGATTTTTCGGCAGCGAAAAACTCTCCCAGGAGACAAAAAAATGGTTAAGCTATACTTGTTGAACGGTACATCCGCAGAGTAGAATTATTCTAGGAGGGGACAGAGGTAGTTTCAGTGACAGCAAAATGTTTTCGCTCAATACAGACGCGGGATTGGCCGCATAACATCACACGGTAGGTGGACAAGAGTGCCCGGTTGCTGACTAACAGCCGATACATGTGTGAAACAGAGTACGTTTATCTGTTACAGGTTTTCCACGGCATTTACTGCATGCATCATAGCTGCATACAAGCTCGGGAAAAAACGAAATGGGAAATAAAAACTCACGGGGACTCACGAGGGAGGGCGCAACTTATAAAGGGATCTGTGGTACAAGTAGAAAAATAAGCACGCAAACACGGACATAAACAATAATGATAGCTTATGAACAAATGGAAGAATAACAGAACGTCCTTAATCAACTTGAAAGTGCATGCAATGTGACAAATTCAGTTTCACATGTAAAACAAGGAGGCTTTATCAAGCAGACATCAACTCAGTTTGCTGCTTTTAGATTTCCCGCGCTGACTTTGACGGAGGTGTTCGAAATAGAACAGTGGATTCGAAAAAAAAATTCAATGCGTTCGATCTGGAACAGTCCATTTGGCCTTCGAATCCATAATCCCAGTATCTGGATGTTCGTTAATTGTCCAAGCCCGTAGATGTTACGGAATACTATCTAAGTCAGAAACAGAATAATAAGAGGAAATAATCTTATTTATCTTTTTCAACTTGAAAATTAGAAAACCAAGTGTGTAATTTCATAAAGATGAAGCCATCTTAGTAGGCGTCCCTCAGTTTCCTAGGTATATGAATTAGCAATACAGATTTTACACAATTTACTTATTGTTTGAATAGTGAAGTACTTTTACTCACAACCATTGTTTAACACGAGCCGACGTTTCGGTGACCGTCTGTTGTGAATCACTCACCAACCTGATAAACGTATTAACGAATGTACGTATTGTTTGTTTTACGCCGTCTCAGTCAGACAGAATTAAAACTCATTAAGACACAGGTGAAATCGCATTTTAAGGATGAATTGAGAAATTAGGCGATGGCATTAAGCAGGAAAACAATAGACACTACTGTATACTCTAAAAAAGTTACATTTTTTGTACAATTGACAAGGGGATATTCATCTCCTATCATACCCCGCTTTGGAGCACCCGTTTCGAAAAGGTCCGTATTTTGCGACGGGAGTCTGTTTTATTTCAAGGTTTTGCCATTTGACGAGATCAAGGAAACAAGATGGACATTCACATTCACTCTGATTCTTGTTCTTGACATTGGAGCTCCCACCAACTATCTGAATATCCCGAAGTTATTAGGAAGCATAAGGCATAGGTTTGTTTTGATATTCATATTCATCGTCACGTGCCTGCGAAATTATCATGTCTAGAGGAGACCGCGCCTTTACTGTTCTCTGTATGGCACTGAGACAAGGATCAGAGCAGGGATTCCTTGCTGACCTATTGGAGGGCACGAGGGTTGAAAGAATTCGAAGAACGTCATTGCACGACGATTGTTCATGGCAACAAATTAGAGGTAAAGAATAAAACCTAACGTCCTAATAACTAAAACAATAAGGGCTTTGATGTAGTTTTATAATCTAGTGAGGCTTATTATGAGTCGATGTACGATTTAAGCTGTTTAGATGTTCACTTGTCACTTTGATATGTATGTACATTAGGCAGTGGTTGTTAAAACTGTTGCATCGGCGGGGCCAAAGTGTATTTCAATGTTAGCCACACATAGAAAAAGTATTTCCCTCAGTTTGTAATGTAAAGACATTACGCAGTCATAGTCCGCATTACATCCCTTTGTCTTTGACTGAACCTACGAAGCAGATTGTCATCAAAATTGTTACTTACAATTTATCATTTCTTTTCTGCATACTGGTAATGGTACATGTAATATTGAAATTACCTACACATGTACCAAACAGATTGTATGAAGTATGGACCATAATAAGAATTGTTCAGTAACCATTAGCATTTTTTAGCCGAATATTATCTACAATATCCTGCATATGTAGGTGGTATATTCAAATCCCTGTGTTTATAAGAATAAGGTAGGAGGCAAATGATTGGTGGTATGTAGTAACTAAATGTGATGGTAAATGTCAGTAATACGGCAGTCCTTCTATTTGAATTAATTATGAATTGAGGGCACAGGATTGAGTTTACATTTCTCATGACCTGCTGCAAAATCATTACAGATACTAATATCGTTGAGTAGTGTTTAAGTGGTGATTTGTGCAAGAAAAATAATTTTGACCTTGAGCGTTTCTTCGGTCGTGTGTCGAAAGTGAAGCGTCCATTTGACCCAGATTGAGCGGATTTACAACACCTACCGCCATGGATAATTAAGAAGACAAATACAGTACGTACCAAAGGATTTTGATAATTGACTTGAATATGCTCATGACAGCACCAGTCATTTTTACAGCAAAACGTTTTCTATAGGTTTTATACTACGCGGAAATTTCATATTCATGCATTAATTTCGATATAATGTAATGTAATGATAATATAATTTTTACAGCAAAACGTTTTCTATACCTTTTATAGTACGCGAAAATTCCATATTTATACATTGATTTTGATATGAAAATGAAGGTTTTCTGTTATTCATTTCCAAAATCAAAAAAGGTTTGAAAACAAACTTATTTGGTCTTTGTGTGCAATTGAAGGGATCCTTCTATCCCATATATAGTTATTTATACCATAATTCCACGACATGCACGTTAGTCATACAAAAAACGACCACCAAGTCTACAGAATGAAATATGCCTATTGCATTTATTGCTGCAATTAGTCATTCTTCCGCAAGAGGCTCCCATGAGCCGTTACCGCAAAACGCAGATCAAAAATACATCACACTTCCGGAACTTTTATTCCTAATCCTGTCATCACAAATGCTTTAATATCAGCTGGGATCGATAAAAGGAAATCCATAATCACCCAAATTATGGATGACATCCTCCGCAGACTCCAAATCTAATGCGAGCTGGCGAGAAAAAAAACAAGGCGGGCCGAAGAAAACAGGGTTCCTACATTTCAAAATTTGACTCAATCATTGTACAAATGGTTTTTATTCAGCGGGAACATCACATACAGCCAGCATCACATATCACTGCATCAAATTAAAAAAAACAACATTAAATCAGAGCCTTTTCTTGTCTCCACCCTCAGGCATGGCAACAGACATCTTTGCCCATTTTCGGTATGTTGACCACTGGCAACAATTTTTTTTCCCAAATCAGGCGAAATGTAATGCCCGCGCTTATGTCATCCATAAAAATTACTTGCTGTGGCCTAAACGAATGATCGTCGGCCCCAATATTTTAGACCGAGCTGTTTTACCCACGTGCACTAATATAGGAACGAGGCCAGAACGGACTTTGGACTTGACCTTGTGAACTTGGCTAGTTGTCGTTTCACGGGTTTAATGTGCAGACCTGACGTTACGTGGCTTGTGACGTCTGGAGTCTGTTACTGTCTGTAGCCTCATCACGTCCTGTCTCCAGCACTGTGGGTCTCACACGGCAACATAACCAAGTGGACAGTCAGGTTAGTGATATACAGGTCACAGATCGTCTTGTGTTGTGTGGGTTGTGGGCAAAATGTTCAAAATGTACCAGATTGACCTTTGAACAACCACTATGAGCCGCACTTTATAATATGTTCTTTACTATTCTTTTCCGCTGTGTACCATATATGTTAAACGATGTTCTACAAACTTATCTCTCTAAGACATGTCACAATGTTACTCACAATTCCGTAATTATTGTATTCCAGGTGAAATCGCCCTGTGAGAGGACATGGCTCCAGTAAGGGCCCTGATCATTGGCGCAGGAAACAGAGGACAGCTCTATGCCAGGTTCTCATTGGACAACAGTGAGCGCTTTCAGGTGTGTAGAGTCCAGCATTTGCACTATATCGAAAAATACAGTCCCCCATCTCGCATAGTCTCGCTTTTCCTCGCGAGACTTCACAACCTTTGTCCAGCTCGTTTGACGGTTCCTTCAAATGGGGACATTCGGACATTAAGTTGGACATTTGCTTTGAGACACAAGTAAATAGGTTTTGAAGTGTTTCTTATTGTTTTGAGCTTCATACCTACTGTCATGTCTCTGTTTCAAGCTATAGAGTACATTAAGACACCGACCATGATTAAAACTCAAATCGGTTTGAATCATGTCAATTTTGATTTGGAGTTCATGTTACAAATTGGTGCCCACGCTCAAACAGACGTTAATCGATTTGACTTTGCGTTTCACACATGTACCGCTAGTGGCGATTATTTAATGGTGAACCTTGCAGGTGGTAGGTGTTGCCAACCCTGGACTGGTCAGGCGCCAACGTTTTCAGCAGGAGTTCAACATTCCCGAGGAGAATGTCTTCACAGGTAAAACTTACAACCGCCTAGTTACCTCCTTTTGTGTCACTAAACCACTATACTGTACTGTAAACGGGATCATGTCAACACAGAAAATGCACTTGATAACTGAGACTGACATTTTAAATTATTACCTTCGTCAGAAGGTTATGTGTTTAGGTACACCATATGTAGGGTTGCTGATTTTGTAATCGTTTATATATTATAACTTGGGTTGTGGTGCATGTATCTGTATGATATTTGGTAGGAACGATGAGGTTGTTATGTGGGACATACACTTGGGCAGTATCTGGTGTGGTTTTCAGCTGCTTTTTTGGAGCTGCTGTGGTCATTTTTATGACAGAATGTGATCATGACTGGACGGGATAACTTTTGATGTTTTGGATCCGGATGTTTTTTTTAGTTTTTTTCCCGTATTCGTGTAACGTGTATTTCTGTACTACGACTTGTGTCACCTATCACTTGATTCACACACCAGCAAAACAAAAGTCAAACTATATACAGCAGCACATTTCTGATAACCCGGACTCTGACATGACGAAGGTACGAAGTCATCGACCCCTTGTTATGCTATATATTTTAACTGCACTGGCTAAGATCGTCAACCAGACTTGGAATGTAGGATGCACTGTATGGAAAACCACGTTTCCAAGAGTTTCCAGTCCCGCACACGCCCGTGAAATTCGCCGTGTCCTGGTCGCGTCCATGGATTTCCGGGCTCCGCGTGTACGGCCCCGGATATTTCCTTACACTCCCGGATTCGTGCTCGCCGTGCGTGTGGACGGAAATTTACGCCCCGCACACTTGGCGTGTGTTGGGGAGCGGCTAACAATAAGGGGTAATTAGGTACTGCGTGTATTCATGTTTCAGGTGATAATTACTTGAACCAAAGTTGCCAGTACTTTAATCTAAGCAAATTAGAATGATCAAGGATTGTTAATACAACATTTGAACCTATGCGTCCTTGGCTTGATTTATCGTGATGTCGTCCATACGGCAAAGCACATTTGAGCGTAGGGCGCCCCGACGCTGGGGTTATATGACCTACTCTGTCAAAATGACCTAAATCTACACTCCGGTCTAAATCTGAATTTTTTTATTTTGGAAATAATAGTTTATCCGTGAGGTTCATTACCATGATGTAATCAAACGCTTGACTAAAGGGGTTTGAACTAACATGACCTGATCAGTTTGTTATGATTTTTAGGTACATGTATGGGTAATAATATGCAAGCTTTACATTGTAGTTCGGTCGATGTGTATTGCGATGTGTCTGACATGGCGTCCGTTTATGTGAATAGCCTTTGTGTAAACAAAGGGAGAACTCACAGCGTCCCCATGCCTGGTAAAATACTGAAATCCAGCAAAACAAGTCAACCCTCATGACATTAATTGTGGATTTTGGATACATTTACAAAGAGTAAGGTTATGTTGGAGTTGAAGTGCGGTTTTATTTCACTTAGTGAGCGACAAGTTGTGTAATTCTAGAACGAATAAAGCCATGTAATCATGACGAATTAGAATTATGAAGATCATTTGTCTGCCTTGAAATAAATACATTCACACAATCAGAAACATCCTATCATCCAATTGTTCAGACTGCACAGGCGATTTAACTTAAAACCTATAATATAAAAACAAGATGGTTGTAGTATTGAACGCGATCACGTGATTATATGACTGACGACCAATCCTACCTCGCTCTCGCCGGGACCAGCCAATAAGAGACGCGATGCTTTGTTTTGGTGGGTCGTTTGAATCTTGCTTTGTCACAACGACGGTTTGCTTTTTCAAAACACGTTTGTCTCGGCTTGCAAAGATTACTAGTATGTCCCTGAACTAAAATGGCGTCAAACATTCCGTTCTGTTACTTCGTTTTCGCAACGGAAGAAATGACTCTACTACATTGAAAGGACAACACCGCAACGAACCAGCAAACCGACAGGAGGAAGGGTAAGCTAAAACAAGGATACTATTATATATACGGCACTATCGTTACATATATCTTAAACATGTTGTTTAAAAACCTTGACTAAGTTGTGCCTACGGCAGAAATATTTATTTTGGCAAGAAGTGTACACTATTTTTTTACTGATTAATAACATAGTTAATATTATTACTACTTAGAAGTACATCGATATAGTTTGTATGTTGCTCAGAACATATATACTTTTTTCAGGCGCGGAATTGGGATACTTTGAGACGATTTGAAGAAACTTTATCGCCAGGCTGTCGGAGAGCTCAGAAAAGAAAGAAAGAAAAGCGACTGCAGTCACACAGAAGAGGGTGAGTCTATGCAAATGCATATCTTTGCATACGAAGGCCGACAAGGCTCTTGACAATTTGAATTGTTTTCATTACCGAGGGAAATGTTGTGTTTGTATTGTTCCCATGATTACAATGAAAAGAAACAAGTAGACGTTGATGCTTGATGAATGGAGCCTTTTCATCTGGACAAAATTGTTGCTGTCTGACGTTAAAACATTCGTTAAAAATGATAAATGACTTCTCCTCGAAATGTGTCCATACAGACGTCCGCATTTTTGCCAGGCTTATTTATAAAACGTCTAGTACATGTACACGTAACTTCAAATGAAAATTCAAAAAATGCCTTCGACTTTTTGACTTAGATTTTCGTTTTTTCCATGTCCTGCAGGCCAGGCTGGAGGCAAACAGGCAGACTGCACACCCAGGCTCAGATCTAAAGGCGAGGGTGCTGTGTTAAAGCGCCCGGCAGGCTCCGACGACCCAGGCCGGCCCCGCTGCACTCCCGCCCGGGGTGCACCCCGCGCCCAGCACGCCGCTCCGGCCTGACTGCGATCACAACCGACACCAACACCACGCCATCCCGCAGACAGACATGGGGCAGTTTGTCCTTCCAGGATGAAAACATTTCGCTATGGTCCCCTGAAGCAAGGGGGGGGGCATACCTCCTGGCCTTCAATCTACAACTAAGCCTCATTTTGTAGAGGCGACAACGCAAACTTTACGAAACCGACAGCTTGTCTTTAACGACATTGTAAATTGAATACGTGTTCATGTAATTAATTTCTGAGCAAATGATCTTTTTTTGTAATGACGTGATATTGTTTTCTGCCAAGCCTCATTTAACTTCATGTTAGGTCTGCCATTATGTTTTTGCTACACGTACATGTATTTTGAAGAACTTTGTTTGAGGCCTTCTTTGTTTATTGAAAATTTAGTCTTTTGACTGTTTGTGTAAGCGCCATTCACTTTCATGATCTGAGGTGAGGGCTATTTTCCTCTTTTAACCTGATGATATGTCAGTATTAGTTACTTTTTGACATTTTTTGCTAAAATGGACTTCTATTTGGAGGTGACTGTGATGAGATGTGATGTTAGTTTACTTTTTAAAGTTAGAGAAATCTGTTAATTACTAGTAATTTCTGAGTTTACACCGGGTCCAACGATTTTAAAAGTCTAGTCCCTGGAAGTCTAGTTCGGGAAAAAGCTATTGTTTCTATGTTTCGGCTACACATTTTTGTAAAGTACCAGGTTACATTATTGTATAGTGTTAGCATAGTGCATAACGTGTATACACTATACATAGAGCGTTATTTTTGTCAGTCTGTAAATGGCGATCCTGTTTATACCAATAAAACGATGAATGAAGTATAAACATGTATTACTTTTTTTTATGAATGAAATATGTTCCTAAAACATCGAAATGTGTCCCGGGAGCGGGGGAAGCGATTTCTCGGGAGCCGGGCAGCAAAGCCCCGGGAGCAGGAAGGGGGGTCCCCGTAGTGGGTGCAGTGGGGTCCCGAGAACGGGAACAGCAGGGCCCCGGGAATGGGAGCAACGGGTCCCGGGAA